TGCTTGCAGACGTCGACGATTACTGTGCACTGTGCACACATTATGGTGAACGAGCGCTTTTTAGACATGGTGAGGAGGTCGTATGTACATCTTTGTTTGTATTTAAGGCTAGGGGCTTAACACACGGATTGATTTTAGGTTGGTCAACTTCACATGCATTACCTGGGTCTATCTGCTTGTCCTATTATTGCCGAGCGTCTACGGATTACTTATATACTTTGTCAGTTGCGAATCACAGCCTAGTTCTTCAGCTATAGAGTTAACAGTTGCTGTGACTAATTCTGCATTGTCTTGTGGTCAGTTTGTTGATTAGGACATTTTCTCAATTTTCAAGAACTTTAATGGAAAAATGATGATTTAAATTCAGATAATAGAAGCGTAACGGAGACAGGAGTGGCTACAGTTTCTAAACAAGTGGGCAAAAATTTTGCAAGCATAAAATTCTAAACGCTTACGTAGTTGTAAATCACTAGTGTGCTTTTACACTGTTTGGATTTTGCAGCTCAAAAGTGTCAGCGAATTTTATCGCAGTGACAAGTTAAACAGACGCTCAAAAAACACCTGCCGTCATTTTGCTATTTTTAAAAATGCAATAGAAGTCTTACCAAGAAGATTACAATTTTTCTTTTTTTGCTCCCCACACATTAGGATCGAAAATGTTAGTTAAAGTTACGTGGCCCCTACTTTCCATGTGATAATTTTATAACTCATCAACCAAAGCAGTTAGAGTGCTGAAATTTTCTGAGCACAGTCCATGGAGATTTTCAGGCTGGCGACATGAAAAGAACTTTCATACTCCGCTTAGATCTCACGTAGGACACATGGATAGTTGACGTTGATAAAATGCAGCTTCGCAACCAGTGTATTTAAAAAGCTAAAATTTTAAGAGCATGGTCCACAACTATGTATACTTAAAATCAACTTCCAGTCCCTGCAAATCTCGCGTTCCGGTACGTAACTTTTTGAAACTACCTGTCCAAAAAAAAAAACAAAAACAAATGATCGCGCCGGCAAACCTGATGCGCGTTGCAGCTGGTTTTTTTAAGAGCAGAGCGCAAAAGATGCTTCGAACAATAAATGATGGGCACGAAGTGGGAATATCATAGAACAAAAACAAAACCTGACACTTACTTTCGCATTGCAAAATTAACCACTGATGTGTTTTGTGAACGCCCTACGAAAACAGCCTTCATCGGCTTCCTGAACTTAGTGAGTATTTTACAACCGAATACAGGGCCAAAGTGTTCAGCGCTGCTGCCTCGAAAATGAGGGGTTATAAGTTCAGAGATTAATAAAAAGCCACGCGCTCCAGGCAAGCCGGCAAACTCATTCTTTTTTTTTGATCTTTTGCGAGAGTTAGGAGTTAGGATCTACAAGCTAGGCATAAGTGTGGGCTTAAATCATAGGTCAATACATAAGAACTGTTTTCATGTTTTTTGCCACAAATTATCTGGCAAATTAAACTGTTAGAATTTCCGTTAAAGCCTCAGGTCTCAAGCTAAAAAACTGTAAAAACTACAATTTCATATCTTACACTATGAGAATCGGCAA